TGGTTCAGCCAGCTACACAATGCTTTGAGACTCAAAATCAAAACCAACTGTTTGTGTAGAAAACTGTTAGAACAAAGACTTACTTTCCCCCATGTCTGGAATATCTCTGAACGGAAGTGTCTTACTACTAAAAAACTATATATGTAAACTTAACGTTAACTAATTCAGCACTTTAAGGCATTGGTCAAGAGAAGTAGTAGTAAAAGTAGAGCAGTGGCTCAGCAAGTTCATGCAGGGGACAGACTCCAAGCCTGTCCTTGATCCTACTGCTGATTCACTGTGCAGTTTGTCAAACCCAAAATTAACTAATTCAGCGCTTTAAGGCATTGGTCAAGAGAAGTAGTGGTAAAAGTAGAGCAATGGCTCAGCAATTCATGCAGGGGACAGACTTCAAGCCTGTCCTTGATCCTACTGCTGATTCACTGTGCAGTTTGTCAAACCCAAAGTCACATCTGGTAGGAGCTGTAGCAATTATTTATGTACTGTTCATCACGAGATGAAGTAAAGAAATGCCTGAAGTACAGGCATTTCTTTTTCCAAGGAGCTTACAGTGCAAGTCATTTGGATGGATAACTTTTGGTTGGACTTTTAATTCACACGGCTACATACTCAAGTATTATCACCTCCTCCTCATTGTTTTATATCTGTCTTTATAAAGCAGCTTAAACTCCACTTGAGGAATGGATATTAGTTGGAGTGGCTGCTATTAGTAACACTCTGCTAAAGATAGCCTGGGGTGAGAGATGCAAAATTTATTCATACAGCATGGGGAAGGTTTCTGACTTCAATTAATTAGTCTTTAGCACTTACTAGCAGACACTCCTTTGAAGAATTTACCACACATGTTGAGAAGTGGTTTTCATTATGTTGGTAATGGGGACAAGGATACCTTAAAAATACTGTTTCTGGGATATATTCTAAATCAGCAAATAAGCTGCTGAAATGTAGTTATTCAGGAAGTGACAAACTCCAAGTCTGAGAGTCAGAAGAACACCAACTGAATTTCTCCTTGAGAGGCACAAGGTCATGAAACCATCTGGGACTGCAGTACAGTACAAAGGCAAATCCCTTGTCAGAATGGCCAGGAAATACACAAACTGCCTGTAAAGAGGCTGCAAGAACAGCAGTTGGGAAACTTCTCTTTTATACAGGATGATGTAGCAAAAGTTCAACTGTATCAGGGGAAGGAAAAAAACAAACCCACCAAAGATCCAAGTGCACTGAGGGGGCTTATAATAATAATCATCATCATTTGTTGCTGTAGCACTTTTGTTCTCTGCTTACTGCATAGATCTTGTTCTCAGATTTTCAGATTTGTTTCTCTTGTTGCAGATAAGTGTAGAATCTGACTCAAGATCACTTTTGTAATTTGGTCTAATTTCATAAAAATCATTATCCATCAGTATTCTGAGCATTCTTTTTAACAGGAAGATAAATACTTCACAGGACCAACCATTGTGAATAAAACTGATAAAAGTGTTACATATTAGCCTTCTGTTTCTTAAAGCCTTATATTACAAGCATTTAAGAGCCAGCTCTTGACCCTCTTACCACAAAAAATCTACCATCAAAACAAGTTGAGTTACAACAATCAGATTTTAGTTTAAGAATGTTTCTCGGCAGCCAATGGCCACAGGTCAGGTTTTACTAATACGTTTCATCTGCTTCAAACCATAATTTTAAAGGCTTTCTAGGGAGTAGTTTTAAAGCTTTTTAAACCTGCTTTGACCTGAGGTCAAAATTTCTTCTTTTTTTTTTAGCCAGTTTTCTTTCAACCTGAAAATCTGCTGTGGCAGTCTTCCTTGTTTATGATTCTTGTGATTGGAGTGATTAAAGAAAAACCAAAACTCTTAAAAGCATAAAACACATGGATCATATTTCATCAGCATTTTCCTATAAAATGGTAAATGTGGACTTTGAACACATTAAGTATCAATTTTTCACCCTGATTAATAGAATAATGTGTCAACTAAGAAATGCATAAGTCTGGGTAGTTGCCAAGAATTGTTTTCCAGATCTTACTGCCTAAGAAAAATGTTCATTTTTGGAGTCAGTGCTGAGACATGTCCTGGTAGGATACAATCTCAGCAGCAAATCTCAGGGACAAATATCTGTTAATTCACCCTCCTAACTCTTTGTGCAGGAATGTGCACTTGAAATGGAATTGTAAAGGTCTTCTACATCTTGCTGATGCTGCAGAGAAGGTATTTCTGTGCAGCTTCTGCCACCTCCCCTGCAGGGCTGGCAGATGTGAGCTGTACCCTGGGCACCCCAGGGCCCTGCACGAGCTGAGATTTATGGCAGCAAACAGAATGTCAGGGCTTGGAAATACCAGAGTTTTGACTGTGCTGGAGGAAGCTCAGCAACAGAGCACTAACTGAAGTTTGGTAAAGTCACTGCTACTGAAGAGAAGGGCTTTGGGATTTTGATTAAAAAAGGTGACACACAAGAACAAACCTTTAACACAATGTCTGTGCTCAGTTACCTTTATCATAATGAATTTCCTTAGCCTACCTTAGAAGTCTTCAGAACTTCTGTTTTCTTCATGATTGATCTCAAGCTGGAGAGATAGAGAATGTAAAGAAGTTAATGCAGAAAGGGACTATTTTCATGATACTGCCAGAAAACAATTTTGACTTATACAAGATTAGGGACTCCAGTGGGGAGACCATTATGAGCATTGAGTTTCTCCTCCACAGTAAAACTGGCCATAGATGCAAACAGAAAGATGAACTTGAATAGACAGCAGTACCCTGGAGAACTGGCAGCACTTACTACAGCCTGGCAGAGGGGAAGCTGTAGTAACATACACATAGACACATTTTCCTCTTTATTTAAACCATCTCTACTCAATGCTGACTTTTTTGTGGATAACAGTTAGACTGTGAACTTCAATTGAAATTGAAGAAAATCTGTAGATAAGCACTATTCCAATATAATAAATATAGTTGATTTGGGATAATTACATCTTTTAACCCCAGCCAATCAGTGGTTTCACTGCGTTCAGAAATACCCTGCAAGATCACAGCTTTTCAGTAAGTTACCCAGTTGAACAGCATAGTAAAAGCACTCTTTCACAGAACATTTCTTTTAAAGAATTGTCCTTATGGATTCTGTTTTCAGTGGAATTGCAGTTTCCCACATAATGGGTTACCTTTCACAATTAATTTGTTTCTAAGGAGTCCTTAGTTCCCTATTAACAAGTAAACAGGTGTGGGGCTCTGGTTTGCCTTTCTCTGTGGTATAGCTAAAGCATTATGATGTCTGTATGCCTTCAGCTACAGAAACATTTATTAGTGCAGTTGTCATTTGAATGGTGTGTATTTCCTAGCTTCTCAACTATTGGTTAAAGACAGAAAAGTTAAAGAAAAGTTTTCAGGTCACGTTTTTTTTACAACAAGTTGGTAGGCAGACCATAATTCCTATTTTTTTTGGTAAGCATAGTCTCTAGGTAGGTATTCTTTTAACTGAACATAACATTCCACCCCCTTACACATTCCTCATCTTGGATATTTGTAGTTCACTCAATCAGAACAAACTCAGTTTAGAAAAACATGACAACTTACCCAAAAATAGCTGTTATTCTTGGAAATATCTGGTGTCTATGGGTGTTATAGTTCACCTGCCTTTAGAACCATCCTCCTCTAAACTCTTTGTCAGAAAACAAACAAATAAAAGTCATTCTCAGGAGAGAAATTTCCTTGTCCTGCCCATCCTCTCTTATCTGCTGTGGGCTGTGTTGGTCAGGAGGTTCCCCCAGGCCACAGGTGCATTTCCAAATCAGGTGCTGATCTCACTCATCTGAAGGGAAGGAGGGTTGTGAGGGTTGTTGGCAATCAGAACAGTTCTTACAGCTGTTCTTCTTTAATTGATAAAAAAATCACACATTTTCAGTAGCACCTTTATAGGTTTCTTAAAACCTGCATGGTGCTTGGAAGGATGCTCTGGAATTCTATTCATACTGGTCAGTTTTACACACAAATTAACTTCCTTTTGTTTTCTTGTTGCTAATGCAGCCATTGCTGACATGCCTTCAACATTCCTGTGATACAGGGAATGTTCTTTGGGAATTGGCATTTTCTTGTTAGCCTTTTGCATGTGATTCATTCAGTGATGGTATTTATCTTAGTGATGTATTTCTCAGGATGCAGCATGAAGTCTGTGTACTAAGGTTATACAGATTGTCACAGTTCAATCTACCAGGCCTCAGTAGCTGTCAGTATTTACAAATAAACACCCTCGCTTCCCACAAAGATACCCTGCTTTACTCCCTCCCTGTGAGTTCTTTCATTATTAATGTGATGTGTTTAAATTAGCTTTAGGCACTTAGCACCACTGAGTCACCTCCTGTACTCTCCCAAGAGTCAGATTTTGCACAGAGGTGTGAAAGCCTTGTCCAAAAGCAGCACTGTAAAGTGCCATTCGCAGGCTCCCGTGAAGTGTAAGGCAGCCAAGAGTGGCAGGCCTGACTAAAACACCCATTTCAGGTCTGTTCCTTCAAATATTGGGCTGCTCTGAAGTGATTCACTGTTCTTTTCATCATCCAGCAACTCCCAGAGACATCTCTGGGCAGGTCACAACTCAGGAGCTTTGATTAGAGTGAAACACCTGTATTACAGGAACTCTGCCTTCTCCAGAGCACACAGATTTGTCTCCCCCATGGAATCACTGTAGTGATCTGCCTTGCTGCAGCCTTAAGTCACTTTAATTAGAGGAAGTTCATGAGTAACTTTGGTGTTTCTCTGTTCATCTGGCAGTGCTGATTGACAAAGACCAGTCCCCCAAATGGAAGCCTGCTGCTCTAGAAGAAGTCAGCGATGAATTTGTGGACAGTTGTTTTAAACCACTGGGAAACGACGATCTCAAGCTGTAAAGATCAAACCTACTGACATCTTATCTATCTGCTTAGTTCTGTGATCCAAAAACTAACTGCAGTGTGATCAATTTGGACAAGACTTTTTTAACTAGCCTGAGATTCACAAGTCTATTTTTTCTCTCTCTTTTTTTTTTTTTTTTTTTTTTTTTTTTTGCATTCAGGAACATTCTCTGTAATGAGAAAATAATTGTATCTCTGTTTAATAATGGGAAAAATCACTTCAAGGCAAATTGTTATTTTTACTGCTTACACAGTGATTAACATTTAATTTTTTGCATCAACTCTTAGTTTAGGAGGAGCCCTTGGGGAAAAGAGCACAGTTTAAGGGGTGACCTAATAAGAAAAAGTCAAGAGACCTTTTGTGTTCTTGGCTTTGTCACTGATCTGGTAAATTGAGATTTGTGCCACAGATTCTTCTGTGTACAATGAAAATAAAATATGGTTAACCTTTAATGCAGTCAGAGCTACAAAGGAAAATGCAAGACAGAATCCATGGTGTTAAATATCCTTTTAAATAAAAGTTCAGACTGATACGTTATTAGTCTGAGAACAAGAAATTGTTCTATTAATTAAACATTTGTCATTTTTCAGCCTTGCTGTGTGATGTAAACATTGTTTCAAATGTGATAATCTTGCCAGAGCCTGAAGCACACTTCTCTTTGCTTGCATAGCCCACTTTTTCAAATGTCATTATGTCTGATTCAACTGCATAATCAGTATTTCACAATTTCAGAAAATTGCTGGTTTTTCTTGGTCTTACAGCAGTGAAGAAACAAGTGCCTCAAACCTTGCTGTGAACACCAAGCAGCAAATCCCAGTGCATTCCAGGTGGCAGGGTTCTGATGCTGGTAATACATGAAATCACACAACATAACCAGAACCCCTTGATACAAGTGTTTGTGGGAGGGAAATTATTTTTTCTATTGTATATGCAACAGACAGCTACTAACCTTTCTTCAACATTACGCCTTCTTTTTTATGCTTCACCAGATCACGCAGCAGTGTTTCTTTCTGCTTACTTCTACACTTACAGGCAGGTCACAAGTACAAATTTTGGCTTCTCTGAAGACCAAAGGAAGAAAACTTCTGCTCAAATGCCATAGTCAGTAACCAGCACCACCTGACTTTTTGGGGAATCAAAAACTCAGAGCTGCAGCAGAACCATTGTGGAGTTTTCAGCGCTGGGCAGTTTTTATGACCAACAGCAATGGTCTGCAATGGCTTAAGGCTCCTTCCTTTCTAGGAGCTGTTGCCTGGAAACAAAGTCCAGGAAATTCAGGTACCAAGGTGAACTACCAAGAGTGACTTTCAAAAAATCAGAGGTGAGCAAATGGGGAGCTAAATCAAGAAGAAATGGCGCCTTGCTTTGGCACTAGAGTGTTGTAAGATAAAATTGTTGAAATTTCAGCTGTGAGTTTATGTTACCATGGACATACTTGTTATGGGACTGTCCTTGAGTTTAGTTCCAAAAGTAATTGAGATTTCATGAAAATGTCTAGGTAATTCAGAAAGCATCACATGATTTTCTAGCTCGAGTTGGTCCCATAAGAAGTGCAAACCTCCCCCTGTATTATTTAGAATTTTTATATGTTTTACATCCATAAACAATTGCTATTTTAAATTTATTTTTTCAAAATGAGTTATCTTAATAATTCCATTATTTTTGTATAAAAGGAGCAGTCTTCAGTCAACTATATTAAATGAAAAACACGGTAATTCCCAGGGAGTAAGGATCATGGCTCCTCTGATTGTACAAGATCTTAGGTAGAACATACTTTTGAATTAATAAACTTTGACTTGCATGTTCAATTGCTTCCAGAATTTCTGTGAACAGGAATTATCCCAAGCTCAAGGTAACTGGATCCTGTCCAATCTTTGCAATCTTGTGGTTTTTTTCAAATAAAAGGCATACAAGCAGATGGTAAGTTGAATTTTATTTGGTCCACAAGAAAATATTTTCCACAAAAAATATTGTAAAAATATATTGTAGTGTGTTTTATTTGGGAATACTGATGTGCCTTAGTCCAGAAATGTCAACTTTACCAAGTTGTGCTGCAGTTAATGTGTTTTGAACCATTATTAGAATATCAAGTCAGTCACATCATACCCACTCAGATTAATCTTGTTTCCTGGAGAAAATATAAAGCAAATGTATTTTTAACTCCTAAATAGAAGTAAACAGTTTTGCAGAGTATGCCAGTCCCAAACTGGAGCGCCTTTATTACACAAAATGAAGTCAAAGAATCAATGGTAACTTAGCTGGAAACCCATTGTCAGTGGCTCTGTAAAACTAGCACAGCACAAATTTATTTAGGTGAAGAAGTCTTGATTTTTGCCATGTATTAGTATTGTGTATTGTGCCTGTTAAATGTACAGCAGAGCTCTGGAGAGAGACCTCCTTCCATCTCTTACCAGACTAGCACTGAACAGATTTATTTTCTATTAAGGGTAAGTGCATTATTTATAAGGACAGCATCCTGGAAAAGAGATGATTTTCCTGGTGAGAAGCAGTCTCCCTGTTGTTTGCTTTCCATTTGCTGCGTGCCTTCCCTGAAGTGCCAGTGTCATGGAAAACATCCCAAAGCAGCTGGAATTGCACTTGGGGCCATTCTGGAGCTGCTGCAATCTTCAGGCACCAGCAGGGCTGAGGTTGGTGGCTGCAGGTGAGGGACTGGTCGGGCCACCAAGGAGCTGGTGCTGTGGGGCAGGACGGCAGCCACCCCACAGAGCAGCTCCTCCACAGGGGAGCAGACCCTGGGGCACGTCCCCTGCTCTGGGGAAGTGCTGATCCCAAGGGATGCTGGGGTGGAACCTCAGGCTGTGCTATAGCTCAGCCTGCTGCAGGCAGCTGCCAGCAGGGAGCTGCTTTCAAAAGGGCATCTGATATTCCTGAAGAGTGTCAGGTGCTAAGGCTGCATCCAGGGGAAGGATGTGAGACGTGGCAAGAGGAAGCACTGCAGCACCTCGCTGCCCGTGGCAGCCTCCAGGGAGCCTTGTACAAGGGCAAGGGCAGATGCACCCCAAGGTGCTCTGACAGTGAGTGCAGTGTTCTACCTGCTCCTCACCTGCCTGGCCAACAATGGCTGTGGAGCTTTGGCTTTTTATTTTTCATTACTGTCGTTAGCAGTGTTCACATCCTCAAGCCCACACTCATGTTAGAAAGGTTGGCCCTTTTTTTTTCTATTTTGTGATAAAGCTTTATTTTAGCTAAAGTAAAAATATGAATCTTTTTTAATACTGTGCTTAAGCAATATCCAATTGATATGTACTGACTTGATCAGTGTTTTGGCTTTGCTTTCTAACACACACTAATACATGGAGGTATTTTAGAGCAAACAGAGTATGATCAAATGTTCTATATGCTGTAGAACTGGAAGGAATGTCACTGTTAGCAGGAGAATTTAAGTGAACCATAAAACCTTAGTCCCACTTTGCAAATGGCTTTGAAGACAGCTATGTAACTTCAAAGAGGACATTACAGCATAAGCTGATTTTGTTCCCTTTTCCAGCAAAAGCCTGAGAACAGTCCTAATAGCAGGTCACTGGGAATCCAGTCTGGTCACTGGGATTTAATGGCAGCCTTGTGCTGTGTCACAGAGAAGCATTTTCCACCCTTCATTCCAGATAAAACCCTTTCCCCATATAGGTAAATTTCAAATATCTAAGTTTGTGTCACAACATTTGCAAAACAGCTCAATTCATAGACTGCCTACAGCATTTGACATGGTCCTCTTTCTGCTTGCTTCCCATTGCTTGAAAAATCATGCTTTGGATCATTTACTAGAACTATGTGTACCTTTTAAAAATAGTAACAGCTTTAGCCAGTATGGAAAGCATTTCTCTATAAAATGAAAACAAAATAGAAAGCATTCTGATCTAGGAAAAAGAACTTTGTCTTTTAAACTGGGCATCACAGAGAAAGGAACCAACAGGTGGTAAAAGCCAAGCTGTTAGAAGGCTTCACTTTGGATAAAACATCAGCAACATTGTACCTTTGGGATGAATGAAAACAATCCATGGGTGCCCTGATCTGTCAAAGGGCAGCTGTGAGTGCAGTGGGTCAGGCTGTGGGTCCTGGGCAAGCAGGGAGCAGCGTGTGGATGCACTGGGGGAGAAATGCAGCCCTTGAGCTTTGGGCCTCAGGCTTAGTCCCTAACTCTGCATTCAGGGCACTGCTCAGGGATGGGGCTCCTGTGGCTCCTGCTGGAATTGCCATGAACAGCTTTTCCAGTGGGGAAGCAGCAGCTGACAGAAGCTGAAAGATGTCCTGTCCCAAGGATGGTATTCAGAGAGGAATTTCAGTGTAATGGAGCCACAGCTCCCATGAAACAAACTGTCCTGAAGCACTGCCACACCTTTGAAGGTTCCTTTCACTAGTTACCACCAGTAGTTTTTGCACATCTCTCTGGGTTACGGTAAAGCAACAAAACCAAATCCTCTCAAACCAGCACCCTAACACAAAAAATCCCCAAACAAAACCAAAAAACCGAAGAGCTTTGGTCTGAACACAGCGACCAGATGTCATTAACCTATCTTACTGCAGGGTTTTAGAGACAAGCTCTCATGCATTTACAGAAGCATCTGTTAATGATAATGCGCTGCTTATCGACACTGGCATGTTTCTCACTGGTTCACTTCAATGGAAGGTGAATAGCATCATCATCCAAATGGCTCCCTGAATACTGCTGGGGTTTACAAAGTGCCTCCCATCACCTTCATTTTGTGATTTTACAGATTTGGTTAGGTCACAGAATCAAAAGTAAAATTTATGATAGCAGTAACCTTTGCTACATGCAGACCTTGATTTCACTTCAGCGAAACAGCAGACAAATTCACCAAGCACAGCGAGTTCATCTCACCTACAGACAGACCTCTGATCTTTAATGCAGAACACAGAAATAATGCACGTTTTGTCCTCTGAGGCAGTGCTTGTAGAGGTGCAGGGCAGCCACAGTCTTCTCATCCTCCTTTTAGCACTGATTTCTGCTCACATCCAGCACGTACAAAGACAGAGATTGACTCAACACACGGCTGACAACAAATGACACTCGACGAATGGCTTCTACTGCGATCCAATTAGTCTGTTAGCAATCTAAAAGGCAAATTTTCTCAGGCTCTCCCTGCAGCCACCTCCCCACGGGGGCGCTGGCAGGAGGCTCAGGGCACGTCGCTCTCGATGAAGGGGATGTCGCTGTACTTGCTCTCGGTCACTGCCCACTGCTTGACCGCCTGCTCCAGGATCTCGCGCGACAGCCGCTGCGCGTAGTCCAGCACGATGGTGCTCGAGGGGCCCCTCTCCTCCGCCTGCACCGCCAGCAGCGACGACTTCTCCCCAGTGCACCCCTCGCCACCCGCCCCGATCCGCTCATCCTGGACAGCGTTGGAACCTTGGAAGGCAGCCTTGGATTTGATGCATCCCATGGTACATTGGAAAACGCAGCTGCAGAAGTCAGTTCAGCAGCATGGTTTGATCAGCTGGAAGTGGTTCCCTCCTTCGATGCAGTGTCGCTGCTTCTTGCCAGTGGCTCCAGTTATTTTCAAAGAACAGAACATCTCCTTTTGTGCTTCTTCCGAGGAAATCTGTCAAAACAGTGTTTCATATAAAGGCAATAAATATGTTACCATTCTCAGTGAGCTCAAAGGAAACGTAAATTCACTACAGGCGTTTGTAGAAGCGGCTTAAGTAAATCTCTGCCCAGCGTGCGTAAAATGTTTTTATCGGTAACATCCATCTACTACAAGTAGGCAAAGTTTGACCTGGATTCACGCTGCCTTTGAATGCAATTCCCAGTACGGGATGTAGGCCATCGAGGAATGTAAAATCTTATAAAAAAAACCAACCAAAGTCTGTTTCTTCCAAGCCAACAATGCGTTACGCTTCTCCTGAAACTGCAAACAAATACTGTTTAGCTCCAGGGACTGCTGCTGCTGGAATTAAACACCAAAACCACCCCACAGCAGCACCACACAACCACCATAGCCAGAGTCCCCTGTCATAGCCGTCACACGCCCTCTGGACACAGTGACACTAATTCCCAGTGTCATTCTGCTGTTGCTGAAGGAGGCTGGAGCAGGGCAGCCACCAGAAGGTATTCACAAGGAACAAGAGCTGGTTTTGTTTTTTCCCTGGAGAGGGTACGGAAAGCAGCAGCAGCCTGCTGTGACCAAGGCAGTTCCAACAGAGCCAGAGCACCATTCTCACTAGAGCAGGATGACTCTATATCTACAGAAGGGAAAGTGACCAATGAAACACCTGGCAGAGACCTTTTCGAGTCCTCAAGCTCCAAATATGGGGTTTTGTTTACTGGCCTACAAAGCTGTTTCTGGGGCTACTTTCTCTCAGGCAAAGCAGAATCTCACGATATGCCTGACTTTGCTTGGCATGCTCTTACCCACTTATCAGAGTTAACAGACTGCCAGCCAAAATAAAGACTGCGCAGCACAGAAACCAACTGTTCCCTACAGCTTCACCCAATGACGTTGCACTAAGGTCAGCCAAAGTTAAAAGATTTTTTGTAAATAGCCTTTGAAAACACAATCATGGCAAAGATGTTAAGCCTTATTTATTTCTTTAATACACTGGAGGAAATAGGGGCTCCAATCCAGTAACCTGATCACAGGCAAATATTTGCAGAGGAAATCAATCCCATTTGCAGGCAAATGGTGCTTCACAGGTAGGATGGGACTTCCCCGGTCTAGCAGCTGACTCAGGAGAACCAGATTCCTGGGACAAGCTCCCCTCCTCTCTTTGCTGCTTCATAAAAACCATTGCTAGCTGTTTGTAGGGCTGAAGTGCAGCACAGGAGTGGCTGGTGCTTCTGGCAGAAGTCAGTCCTAAAGGGCTCCAGAGACCACCAAGTCCACAGAAACACTGTCACACCTTTAGCTTGGTGGCAGGACATTTCAGCATTGTAGAGGAACGTTTGTAGACCACCTCACCGAAGTTCAGTGGGTCTCTTTGTGCACACTGACCTGTGCAGCACGTGCCCAGGGCTTTGGGACAGGCACTGTACTCCACAAGCCTGTAACACAAACCCTGCTGCCAAGGGCTGATCTCTACTTGTGGTTTTACCCAACACAGAGGACAGCCAAGCTATCAGATTTTTATTCCAATAACTCATCATTAAATGAGTAGAGACTGGATGGATAACTTGTCATGAGATGAGTAAACAGCAGGATTCCCTTCACTGCACAAAAAACTACATTTATCCCTATGGAGGTTCATACCCATGTCTATCCACATATAAACTTAACATGCCTCCAGACCAGAGGCCAAGGAGAGGCCTGAAAGCAATTCAGGCAGCTGAATAATTCAAAGCTTTAATAGTAATATCTTGTGCATGTCTAATTTCAATATTTACCATCAATAAAACATTAATACTAATCACTTCCACTTGCTCTTCTGGATAAATATGTAGATCCAAGTACATGGTAAAGAGTCACTAACAGCAGGTACCACCCAGCACTGCTGATGCCTGAAAGCTGCACTTTGATCCAGCCAAGGTAATACACAGCTGCAGTGTATTTTTATCAGAGTTTATCCCTGACACTTTCCTTAAAATATTCTATTCAAATTTGGATTTTTTTTTTAATCCAAGTCTGGAGCTATAGTTTTCCTTTTTTTTTTAGCTTTTTAATGGAGGTCTGTTAAACAGAAGCTAGCTTTAGTTAGGATTTTATTATGTTTCCCTTTAATGTTTCCCTCGTGCAGCTGGAGATTTCTGTTAGGGGACACCAGCGTATGAGTTAGGATCTAATGGAAAGGACAGAATGTGAGTAGAGAGAGGATAAACTTCTTCCTAAAGCAGGTAATTTCCTAAGGTCAGCATCTTCCTCTGCAGAACTCCCCACCTCTGCCTCTTCATCTGGGCCAAGTCAAATGTTCCTGGGACTGTCCTACACAGAGGACAGGGCGGCTCTAAAGCTTGCAGACAGCAAGGCACACAATACAACTCAACTGTTCCAAATCAGTTGAGCTTCAAAGCCAAGTTATGGACCCCAGTTTGAATTCCTGCCTGTTGCTCATTTCATTCTTCACAGAGCTCAGTGCTTTCCAAGCCACTGCAGTGAGTGTTACAGTTTGCCCGGTCTACTGGAGTTAATAATTGCTGGCACAGAAATAATTGCAAATGAAGCTGCCCTCAGCCTTCTGGCTGCTTCCTTGTTTTGCTGACAGCCCTTGCCTGCACGCACATGGTGAAATGCTGTTTAAATCCTCTCTAACTCATCTCCAGAGTGTTAAGTTCTGACAGATTTTAACATCTCTACCTTTCCTCGCAATGCTCATACCCTGAGAGGGAAAAAACCCCAACAAATTAAACCAGCTCATTTTACTCCCAGCACGATGCTGCATCCTGTAAGTGCACAAAGCAAAACTGTGTGACAGGAGCCTGTTCTGTCAGTGCCCAAGCTCTGCTCTGAGGCCAGTTGTGCCTCAGACATCACTGCAAAGATGGTTTGGGGCTCAGGCCAAGAGCTCTGCAGCTCCTCACGTGACAAGGCCGCTGGGCTTAGCTGGAGCCAGAGGTCAGCGAGCTCTGCTCACTCTCAACCAGGAGCTAAAGCAGCATCATCAGAAAGCAGAACTCATCTTCTCCTTTTAGAGACAGATTTTACAGTAGGTGAAATGCTGATTTATTCATCTGAAAAACATAGGCCGCTAGTTGTGCTCAATTTTACTGGATGCACAGTCAAGATGTTTTTAAATGCTTCATTTAACTTCAGCACAACACTGCGTATGACTTTAATGGAAGTCTTGAAAACAATCAATTCCATATTGGAATTGGAACTTCCCAAGGATAAGTTCAGATGTTTTTTCACCTAATACTTTATTTACTGTGGCAATACTAGGAGTGAGGGGGTGGTAGCTGAACTCAGCAGGCACATGAGGACTAAGCAGTCTCTTTGCCAGCCTGGAAAAGTGTTTCCTGCCAATGCAAGTTCATTTCTAACTACTGAAGGAAACAAAAAAATGGTGAAAGGATGCCTGCAATTCACTATTAGACAATATAAATGAGAGGAAAAAAGCATTAATTGCATAACTGCCATTTCAAAAAAAACCCTGAATTTTTTAAAGCATTAAAATAATAAATAAAAATAACTGCAAAAAGGTAAATGTGCAATACCAAAAATTAAGGGTTTCACTGGCCTCTGCAATACACCATCATATGACAACAGGCAGAAAAGCAAGCATTTTGCTGTTATGCAACATCTGTAGCCATCATAAGCAGGTAAGTTCCTGCTACCATTTAAATGTTTTCCATCCATGAGAACCTCAAGAAAAAAACCTTGAAATTCAGTATTAGACTATAAGAAACTGCTTTCTGTAACACTTTATATTACAGCAGTCACTGGATTAAAAATAAGTCAAAGTTTTCAAAACAGCTTCAAAATGTGCAGCTTTGCCCAGCTGAAGGCAGCAAGTAATTCCTGCTGTGACAGAGCCAAACTTTTTGGTTCAAATATGACTCCTCCTCCAGCAGGGAGGCTTTCAGTTTTCCCCTGGGTATCTGCAGGAGAAGCTCAGAGTGCCACTTACCAGAACCACGTCTGCTTCTAACAGGTTGTCCCCTCGTCCCCAGGAGAGCACAGACAGCTTCACGTCTGGGACCCTGCAAAGGGAACCCAGGAACAGAGCTTAGCACTCTCCAGGATGTCAGAGGTGCACAATATTCAGAGGTGATCAGTCTGTGGTGCTGGCCTTGCACAAGGCTGTCTGCCTTTTCTCCCACACAGAACTTGACTTTGACAAAGGTAAAAGGATGATACAGCACTTAATAAATTGGATTGAATGACAAGCTGTAACAATATACACAGCACCTAATGCTAGGCTCAGAGTGAGGCCACTGCTCTGGCAAGTGGCTCCTGGCCATCTTCAGGATGCCAGCCTCCTCCCACAGCAAGTCCAGGTCAGGAGGATTTCAGCAAGGATATGGGAAGGGTATTGTGCCCCATCTGTTGCCTCAAAAGTTCTCTCCCATTTTCCCTTCTACCTCTCAAAGCTCCCGCTGAGACCTGGACCATCCAAGGACACAGGGAGAACAGTCAGACAATCCCAGTGCTGCCATTATCATGGAAACAATCAACTCTGGAACAAAGGTATTCAAAGCTGGAGCTTGGGCAGGTGACCTACCAGCAGAGGTAACCAAACAGCACTCAGGCATGCACACCTCTGAACTGCACTCAATCACTTCAAATATTCACACCCTCCATGTGATAACAGAGAGCAAACCCAGAACAGCCTCTCTGCCCAGCAAGGAGGGCTGTAATAACTCAGGAGCACTCGTGGCACTGGCCTGCCTGCAGCTGCACAGCATCCAAAGAGCAGCAGCACATAACTGGCAGAGGCATGAATCACTCACTCTGCACAGCATCCCCTCCATCGCTGCAGGACACAGAGCTCCCTGTGCAAAGCAGCCCCAGGCAGGGGCTCCCAGAGCACTCCAACCCACCAGGCTTTCAGTCCTGCCTCTCCTTTGCTTCCTGCAAATCCAACAGAGGAGATGCACTACACAACATTTATTAGAACAACTCATCCCAATCATAGGAAAAGGAAGTTTTAAACAGCTACAGTTACTTTAAGACAAGCACAATACCAAAGATTCTGCTGCCTCAGGCAGCCACTGATATCCAAATATCCCAAAACAGCTCAAGACATGAAAAGCAAAAATGGAGCTCTCATTCCTCTCAGAGCCATCCCCTTGCTCTCCTGTCGCTTATTGCTAACAAGAGATAAGAGCTACAGATTGGAAAAGGCTGGATGCAGCAACTGCAAACAACTGCTGTGCAGGATTAGCTGGAAGGGAAAGTCTCCTGGCTATCTGTCTCAAGGAACGTCCTGAAGTTTCAAAGGCTTGGGTTTTTCCCTCTCCATGGCCAGAATTGACAAAGCTTTTCCAGGCTTTTAAGCCAGCTTCTAAATGAATGGGGAATTATAAATTTGCTTTTCCAAATCAGGCAGACCTCTAGTTTACTTTAACAGGTTTTTCATTAAGAGCACAGCTGATCACAGAATCATAAATTTGGTTTGGTTGGAAAAGGCCTTTCAGATCGAGTCCTACCATTATCCCAGCACTGCCATGTCCACAGCTAAAACCTGTCCCTAAGGGCCACATCTCCACATCTGGGCAGCCTGTGCCAATCCTGACCAACCCTTTCAGTGAAGAACCTTTGCTAATATCCAACCTAAACCTCTCCTGGCACAACTTGGGGTAATTTCCTCTGGATCTATTGCTTGTTACCTGAGAGAAGAAACTGAGCTCCACCTGCCTACAGCCTCCTTTGTCAGAGCACTGAGTTACTTAATGGAGGCAATTTCCATGTCAAATTTCATCTCTCAAGCACTTTAGCAATGCAGTTAAGGAACATGAAAATCTTCAAACTAGAGGGAAAAACACAAGAGAAAAAATGTTTCTTCTTACTGCACTTTATGATTTACATGCACAGTGTAAGTGGGGTGTTTTTGCTGATAAACAGTACAGCTGTGTCAACGTGAGTTTTTATGCTGACAAAGACTGAAACATAAAACTAGTACTGACTTAAAAATTTAAAAAAGGCAAAAGCAAGCCCCCATAAAATCAAGAAACTGGCCCCTCCCCAAGATACACGACCACAGAAGACAAGAAGAAAAAAAAGTGCTTTCTGCATTATTCTAGCAATCTTACCCAAGCTTTGGGAAGCAGCAAATGAAGATAAAATACCAAAAGAAACCTTTGGATGAAAATACCAGTAGTTCAGAGAACAGCAATGCCAGTAGGTACAGCCCTCAGCAGCCACAGTGTTATTCTTCATTCAGGAAGAAGAAGTCTTGTTAAAAGCAAAGAACACTGTGTGCTTGGTAGCTGTCTAATTTCATGAAAGTAAAACTGTACCCAGTTGGCCTGTCCTGAAATCCTCCCTCCAGTGCAGCAGTTTATTCACCAGAGCTGCACACACAGCTCAGGGGGCAGCCCAAAGGCCATTAGAGAAGAGGATGCTAAAAACCTCTTACAGGTTCTGCTCGTATTTTACCTCAGCTACTTGTCCAGACAGCTGTGCAGACTGCTGTTAGTCCGAACTGGGACAGAAATGTTTACAATGTATTGATGGTTTTCCCCCAGTGTCTCAGAATATTTGCACGCACCAGTACAGACTCTGCAGACCACGGACAAGAGGGAACATTAACTTAACTACCCCCACAAGAACAGGAGAAGGATACCTACCATTGATGGAAGCCTGTTTTCTAGGTGGGTAATAGTGAACCAATGGATTTCCTTAACAATTAAGGCCTTGGAGTAAGACTGGAGAAGAAAGGGCATGAAAAAGATTCAGGGCTTCTCAGAAACTCCATCTGCAGGAAGTTCACCCAAGACTTAAGGAACTCAACAACAGAAACTATAGAGGAATGCCTTTGGAAGGGAAAGCTAATAGAGATAGAGGAGATCCAGAATTCTCAAAGACCCCAAATATAAAACAATGATCAAAACTGATGAGTGAACAGAAACAGAACACCAGAAATGGATATAAAGTTTTTGACCTATTTGTACAGCTGTTTTGATGCCCTGAGTCACACCAAAGGATGCAGGTCCAACACTTTTTTCAGCAAAGCCCAGAGTTCTTGTAACTATCAGCCCCTCCCATCTGTACTAGCTGCAAATCCATGGTCTGAAGACCATCCCCACAGCAGGGAAAAACACAAGGCACACCACCAAAGGTGTCAGAGACACCGGCCAAGTCCTATACTGAGCTTAGACTGCTCCAAGGCACAGCACTGGGCCCAGACAAAGCAGCCTCTTGGTTTATCACAACACTCCAACACTGCAACAAAATAGAGTGGAAACAGGAATTTTCCTACATATACCACAAAACTTCCATTCCAATAACTCAATTGTGGAGTCACAGCCTTCCTACTAAGAGTCCTCTTCAGGATCACATTGAAACATTAAGCTACTAACTCAGGCTAAGGCTCAGGACCTAGCCTGGTTTGTAAAGGTGCATTACTGTCCTCCACAGGTGTCTGGCAGAGACAGAGCTGCAGACAATGAAAAGGGATGCACAAATCTTTACGAGCAAGAAAAGCCCCTCCTGCAGCTCTTGCTGGCTGCTGCCCAGCCTGGGGATCCTGCCAGCAGGAACTGAGGAGCAGCAGCAGCAGCTAAAGCAGCGGATCGGCGTCTCAGGCTGACAGGGTCGCGTTTTATTGTAGTGGCTGTCACAAGATTCAACTACGAACATATGGAGCTGCAGAGCATAAGGTATGAATGAGGGACACTGCCTGCCTTTGTGACACCCTCAGGAAGCTGAGGGCTCCACTGGATTAACACAAATGAAAGTCAGAAGGAAGGAGATGGTCAAGATCTGCCCAAGATGAACCACAGAAGAGCACAATAAAAGCAGCAATAAAATCTCCAGAAGCCAACTATAAAAAGGGAAATGGGGAGTAGGGATGCACCAGGAAAGCCATTTTTCCACATCTCACACAGGAAGACACAGGAAAACGCAGCCCCACGTTTTAAAATCACAACTATGTTACTACTGCACAAACCAAGGCGTAAGAGGACAAAGGCAGGAGTTAACAACCAGGTGCTCCAACTGTACAAAAGCTGCCCCGAATTGCAACAAAAAACTATGTCAGCCTTAAAAACCACTCTGTCTCACGGCTCTCCCCCGGTGTTTGTTGCCTTGAATTCCCTCACTCCTAAGGTGCCAGCTCCCACTTCCAGCAGTTGCTGCCTTGGCGCCTGGGAAGCGGGAAGGGCGGCAGGCAGGCGAGGCTGCCCGTGCAGCTGGCACCGCTGCCAGCCCTCTGCCCCCCGGGACCCTGCCCACGGAAACACCTCGTCCCCAGGGACACCGGCGTCCTGAGGCTCTACCCAACCCCTTGGGCAACTTGGACAAACCAAGGTGATTTTAAAGCAAGAACGTTCTCAGAAGAACGTGATGTTCAGAAGAAAAACTAATTTGTATGTACTTGAAGGTTAAAAATGCCACATGGTTAAGGCTACAGGATAAATCCCCGCATTTTTTCCTTTTTTAAAATTACTATATTTAGAAACCTAATTTGGACTGCTACTTACTGAACTATGAGAAAGCATAATATGTTTCAAAATGTTTAAGAATTTTTGCCATGATGGATATTGCCTTATTAAATCTGTATTTTATAACATGCTAGAAGAAGGTAACCTGCTCTGCATAAGGGTCAGTGTGGAAGCCTGGAAAGGTACTCAGGGAAAAAAAGGGCTGACAGAGCCTCGCATCACCTCGGCCGGCAAATACAGCAGCCTCACGTCTTCCCCACAGCAGGAACAGCTGGACAGAACCAGCCACGCCGTTCACCTTCCCGCTCCGCTTCGCTCAGTTCGGAGCAGTCCGTGGCCGGCACGCTCGCTGCGAGCTGATGGGAGGAGTGAAGCAGCACCGCCGCCCTTCCTGACAAACCGCACCTCAGAGCTCTGTCCCTGCTCTCGGGCACGACCCGAGCCCGAGGCGCCTGAAGGCCAGCGCTGCCCACGCCAGGCTCGCCCTCCCCGCGCATCCCCGCTGCCTCCCGGCACGGAGCCGGGCACATACCGGCGCGGCGGGGCGGTGTCCGTGCGAGCAGCGTGCTGGCAGCGCGGCCCCGCCGCGCACGGTGCCCGCCCGCCGGGCTGCCCCTTCCTCCGGCGGTGCCCGGGGATCCGGCCCTCGTCCCACCGACGCCGCCGCCTCCTCCTCCTCCTCCAGGCTCCTGAACGGCAAAGACGCAAACCCACCGTCAAAGTCCATGCTGGGAGCCGCGCCCGGCCCCGCGGCGCTCGCACAGGTAGCGCCGGGAGGGCCCCGCGCCCGCCGCCGCTCCCTGGCCCCCCGCTCCTGCCCGCCCGGGGACAGCGGCGCTGCCGGCACCGGCCCTGCCATTTAAAATAAGGGGAAAAGGGGGAAAAATCACCCAGGCAGGAAAGCCGCCTCTCATTGGCTTCTCCGCCTTTAAATCCTCCCCCTCTGCTCGGCCCCGGCGAGGCACATCTGGAGCGCTGTGTCCAGGTCTGGGCTCCTCGGTACAAAACACGAGGAGCTGCTGGAGAGGGTCCAGCAGAGGATGGACACAAGATGATGAGGGAGCTGGAACAGTCACAAGGAGAGACTGCGAGAGCTGGACCAGTTTAGCCGAGAGAAGAAGAGATGGAGAGGGGATCTCATTAATGCATATAAATAACTCAAAGGCAGCTGCTAAGAGGATGGTGCCAGACTCTTCTCAGTGGTGCCCAGCGACAGGATGAGGAGCAGTGGCCACAAACTAAAACACAACAAGTTCCACCTCAACACGAGGAAGAACTTCTTTACACTGAGGGTGGCAGAGCACTGGGACAGTTCCCTGGTGAGGTCATGGAGTCTCCTTTTCTAGAGACATTCCAAGCCCACCTGGGTGTGTTCCTGTGCCCCCTGCTCTAGGTGACCCTGCCTGGGCTGGATGCCCTCCAGAGGCCCCTTCCAACAACCCTGACAATTCTGTGATTCTATAAAATGTGGAAAAGATGCTCAAAGAATGGAGTTGCCTTATAAAACCTTAGGGCCATCACCATTGCGTGCTCCGCTCAGCCCTGGGACAGCCCTGAGGTGCCAGAACACATTGAGCACACAAGGACTGGTGAGCATTAAAGCAAAGAAAACAATGGAAAAGACTGGGGGAGAGGCCTGGGTGATGCTTCTCTGATTTTATCCTGTCAGGCAGCATCAAATCATGTACAACCACAGAGAAGTATTAATTATACCAAAGCTTTTTAGGAAACACCCCATTCCAAAAGAAAGCTACCAGAATGAAAGCTGAGCAAACTAAAATAGCATTTTCAATTAAAAAAAGAAAAAAAGCTATGCTAAACCAGAAAACTATTCTCTAAGAGAGGCTGCAAACAGACACCCTAGGTAAAGCATTCCTGCTTTTGGGGAGTTCTTGACACCCAAACTAGTGTACAAAACACATGAGCATGCCTGGGCATCCCCTCTGGGAGGCTGTCACAGAGCTCATACCTGACTGGGGCTGGCAAACAGCACCCCAGGACTCACAGGAGTCTCCTGGCCCTGATGGTGACAAGCCTGGGGACACAAGGCTCATGCTGGTCCTGGCTTGTCCTACAGCAACAGACTAAAAGCCAGAGGTGCTGCAGGGCTGGGCACTGTGCTCATGCCCCTCACTGCAGTCAGCACTCACTTTCAGTGCTTGTGCTGAACTCTGGCTAAGTTTCCCATCTATTTAGGCAGGTTTTATAGAATCAGAGAATCCTTTAGATCGGAAAGGACCTCCAAGGTCATCAAGTCCAACTGACAACCCAGAATTGCCAAGTCCACCACACCACTAAAACACATCCCTTTAGTGCCACACCTACACAGCTTTTCAATACTTCTAGGGATGGTGACTCCACCACTGCCCTGGGCAGATTGTTTCAATGCTTGGTCATCCTTTGATGAAGGAATTTTTTCTGATATCCAACCTAAACCTCTCCTAGCACAACTGAGGCCATTTCCCCTGGATCTGTTGCTGCTGGTTGGAAGAAGAGGCCAACCCATCTCACTACAGCCTCCTTTCAGGTAGTTCTAGGAAGCAATAAGAACTTCCCTGAGCCTGCTTTTTGTCCAGACTGAGCACCCCAGCTCCCTCAGCCCTTCCTCACATGACTGACTCTCTAGCCCCTTCACCCAGCTCTGCTGCCTGCTCCTGGGCACACTGCAGCACCTCAATGATTATTGCCAAGCAGGTCTCCAGCTGTCAAGTAGGTTTCTAACACATTTCCAGTCAGTCATTGCCTTGCCAAGGAATTTCTTGCAGTGCTTTCAAAGCCAAAGAAAACACTACACTGGCAACATTCATCAAGAGAAGCACCACTGTAACTGTAGCTGCTGGTCACAGATTATCCATTGCATGCTGGAGGGGCTGTGCAGGGCCAGCAGAGCCAGGGGATGGACAGGTACACAAAAATAAGAAAAACATCCCTCTGCTCCTCCAGTGGCTGGGAAACCCTCCCTAGCCTGGAAAGCTGGGAGAGACAGGGAGCAGGCAGCCACCCCAAAATCCAGCAGCTCCTTGTACGAAAGGACTGCTGCTACAGCACACAATATTACACTCATTACTTGCAAACAGCCCACCTGTGAATTAAAAACCCCACATATTTTACTAATTACTGCCTTGGGGCCTGGAGAAAGCATTGTGCTGCCAAGTGCTGGGTGCAGGTTTGTACACATTGTGTGTGCTGTGTCATTTCATCCAGCTCTAATGGGACCATGCTCCCTCAGAGACCAAAGAGTTTCTGGGGCTGGGGTGCAACAGGAGACCAAAGCTCAACCCTCAGCAGCAGTTCCCAGGGCAGGAAACCTCAGGTCCTCGTGAGCTCCAGGTGTGATTTTTAAGTGACAAGTTCCCCAAGCAGGATTAAGCCCCTTGGGCACTCAGCACGTGCTGCAGGGGCAGGTCTGAGGAGCTCAACCCAAAACCTGTTCAAGCTGGTGACATTGTGCCCTCTGATTTCAAGGAGCTTTGACGTGGGACCTGCTGAGCTGGGCAGATCTTGTGCAAATGTTTTATTACTGTTTTAGCTCATCTGTAGGTGGCTGGAGGAGAAAATCAAATAAACTCCTAGCCCTGAGAATGAAAACAAGATGAAGTACTGGAAAGGCACAGTCACCTTGCATTAACACAGTGGTATTAGTACAACAGTGACTTTTAAACTACATCCTGTTTTTAAACAGGATTTTGTAACTAAATTATAAATATCTTTGTATAGGCTTATGCCTACTGTGCTCTTTATTATTCTAGCCTTGTTTCTAATGCAAGGTTCTACTTTTATCTTCAGCTTTTAAATGTATGCAGCTCCCACTAAGCCACTTGGTGCCGTGGGGCAGACATTCCACAGGCTGAAGCACAGCTGGTGCCTGGCTGGATCACTTCACTGCATCCCAATAGGTAACAGTCTGGTCTGGTGCACTGCTCATCTCCTGTGCCACCACCCAACAACGAGCCTTGTCCTGAGCAGCAGCACCTCAGTGTGATGTGGCAGGGACAGGGAGCTAAGGAGAGGGAGATACATGTGATGAGAATCTCGAGCCCATATTTATTTCTGAGTGCCAAAACAGATTTAATATTTCATTAGCTGTGGAGTTTGCAAGACAGCTGATTATGCTGGGCTGGGGCAAAGCAGTCAGTGTTTTTAAATGCAGAGCATCCATTTGAAATGGCTACAACCAGGCACAGGCTAGGCAGTCAATGAAATATTTAGCTTGTAAAGCATTTCAATGTGCAAGGCTGAGGCCAGATGTGGGTGCTGTGAGGTTGAAAACCACAATACCCAAATCTGAGGTGCCCCAGCCCTCACATGGAGGCCTCAGAGGTGCAGCAGTTCCCCAGGGAGTGGGGCTATAGGGCTTCAAGGTCCCCCCCGTACCAGGGTGCAGGAGCCCTTGCTGGGCATGAATTAGTTTGGGAAGGCACAGGCATCAAAGCCTTTCCTGCAACTCAACCTGCCAGATAATGCTGCCTCTTGCACCCTTCTCCCCAATTTCAGTGTCTGAAACCACTTTCCTGTAGGGGTAGGGAAGACACTCTCCCCTCCAGAAGAAATTGTTTTAAAGCAAGTTTCACTTTTTGTTGTCATAAGACCTGTATTTATTTTATTAGCTATTTTTACTCATTATTTGCTTATTGGAGTTTGCTAGTTCTTCCTATAATATAGCCCAAACCCTCTAAATTCCTGGCATGCCCTGCTCTGTTTGCACGTGTTCACCTCAGAGTGATGTGGATGCAGCATCAACACAGGTGCAATGGGGGAAACTGGTGCAAAGTGGACCACAGAAGTCAGGGAATGGTGTTAGCATTGGAACTGCTGCAATGGTACCCAGACTGGATGGTTCAGTTGTGCTGAAGCTTCAGAGGAAGCTGGGTGAGAAACTGCTAACCTACTTCTTTTGGGTTCAAATTTGTCACTTAACAACCTTTGCATCAGATGGCAAAGTTTAAATGAGGTTGTCCAAGGGTAACAGAACAAATGAAATCTGGTTTCTGCCTCCCTCTGACACAATTTCACTGTCCTGCCCTTGCTACCCTTCACACTTCCTCCACATCTGTGAACCCCTCTCCAAGCCTTCAATTCCTCTTCTCTGTCTCACACATCCACAATATCCTACTCTCATTTTTGGACTACTTACATGTTTTTCTGCCTCAGCTCCCTCCCATTTCACCTGTAAATAGTGCCCAGTATCCAGTAATCCCAGCTTTCTTCCACATCTTCTGACCTGAGCTGTGTGGTTGGCAGCAGTAGCACCTGCTCAGGTTTTGCCAAGGTGCTGCTCAGATGCTCAGTCCATCAGTCCTGCTCACCACAGATGCTGGGCCAGATTGTCCCTGCCTTTCTGACAGAAAGCAGAGAAAACACAATTTTTCCCAAGCAGTGCTTAAATTAATTTAAGAATCCACTGACAACCCAATGATGTGGCATTAAAAAAAGGGGTACAAAACTCCATTAATTTATCCAAATCCAGCCACCAACCCAATCCCTAGTCAGAGATCACTGGCTGAAACACTCGCTCTGTTCCTCAATTCATTTTTTAACTATACAAACAGACCCTGGTATTAGGAAGAGCTTCACTGAGGCACATCTTTCTAATTCAGCTGAAGAGTTAAAGGGAAGCCATGACAAGCACTCTCTGCCCCAGGAGCTCCCCCAGCATGCCCACAGCCACGTGGTGACTTTACCAAATCTATTTTTACGTTCAGTAATCCACTTAACTGTACAGGTTGGAAAATGTTGCACAGTCTGAGAAGAATCAATATATAAAGTCTAAAGAGCTATAAAGCCCTGATAATTTTTGTTATTGACTAAA